TGATTTGCGGCTTAGAAGACCAAAGTAACTCTTTGGAGACTTGAAACTTGCAAGCAGGGATGAAGATGAAAGAACTCTTTGTGCACACAAAAGAAGATGGAGAAGACACTAAAATGGACTTACTAATTTCCGATTGCATTGACTTAAACGAAAAACTTTTTAATTTTGAATACTAACAGAATACTAACTGTTAACAACCCTCTCTCTTGGGATTTTAGTCATAGTGTGGGGTTTTTTACTTTCTGTCCTTTATCCCGGGGTAACTTTTCCCTCCCCTTTTTTCTTTTCTGTAGTGTTTAGGTGTAACAAAAAAATAATAAAGCTACCCTGCTCGCAGGGGATTAAAAAAAAACACAACTTTTGTATATGGTTTTATGGTACTGGGTACCGACTAATGTAAGCTGCCCTGAGCCTGTTTGTGGGGAGGGCCGGGTATAAATGGAATAAAATAAATAAAATATAAATTTTGCATGATCGTCATGTCTTAGAATACATAAAGAACAGTCATGCATAGTTCTTACAGGCATGTAAAAACCCACGCTTTGAAAACTTCAGGTGTACTGTTGTCTATCTACGAAGATGTAGTTTCATCAAAGTTGTTAAAATGTAATAGTCAGTTAAAACTCCAGATGCATGAGAACAATTCTACATCTTTTTTTTTTTTTGAAGACACTATTTCTGTCCACTATGTGTTGCAGCAAAGCGGCTATACTAACATTTCCTAAGCAATCCAACTGCTATTTAGAGTTTTAGAGATTCTCTTCCACTAAAAGCAGGACTACTTGTGATGATGATCCAATGATGGAGTTTAGGGAAGTCCTGAGGAGAGCAACTGCCTGATTCTCTCAAGAATCCCAATGCCAAGCATGTGTGTTCCCACATCAATATAACCACAGATACCATTGACCGAAGAACATCTGGGATGGTCGTCCTCTTCCACCGAGCGCGCAGCTTCGGGACGCACCCACATGGAGCGGTGAGGGAGGTAGGGGACACCCGCCTAGCAGGCCAGATCAGCCGAATCAACCCTGGCGATCAATGGGGTGACAGATGTCACAG